TTGCCTCTTGGGAGGGATTGCTGCAAAACCGCAGTAATGGAAATCTGAGATGTAGTTACTGGCCAAAGGCCAGCAGAGACATTGGTCAGTTGGACGTGTTTCTTCCCTCCCAGCTGCAAAGGAGTTTCAGCATGGGAAAACAAAATTAAATGTGCCATAATGATTGGAAAAAATGAAAATGTTACCACATTGCAGCAAAAGGAATAAGGCACGGAGGTGCTTCTGAAGAGCTACTGAAAACACAGAACTTCCACTGTCCTTGCTTCCCACCATTGGTGATACACAGTTCAGAAGGTGACCCCTAATCTAGGGTGTTCCCACAGCTGGCACTTCGTGTTACTTTAGCTCAGAAAGGAACAGTAAATACCCAGAGGAAAGAAAACCCCAGCATAAAAGTCTCCTCACCTATCATTCCCTGCAATTAATTGTGATGCAAATACTAATTTTCTTTTACTAATTCATCAAGAAAACCCTTGAATATGAAAGTTCTGAATGGATTTTCAAGCAATTAAATTGCCTCACCATGGTGTAATTCACTATTCCCTTTCTAACCTGCTCTTAAGGCAAAGAAAGAATGGAAAAAACAATCCTTGTAATCAATGTCTGCAGAAATGTTCACTTGTCCCATGTGCCTGGTGATGTTTTGTTAAAAAATCATACAATTAGGAGCCTAGAAGATGTAGAAAAATGCATTGTGAGCTCTTTCACAATTTTCATGGTATATCCAACTCTCTCTACATGTTATTAGCAGATTTTTTCAGTGCATGCTATTAACCCAGTTGACTTATTTCTGGTATCTGATATATAAATCTGCACTTAGCAGTACAGCAGAATAATTTGCTATGTGGTGCTCCTGTGATAAGGATAAGAGGATTTTTTTTATCATCATTACGGATGGTAATAATTCCTAGAGTGATACAGAGATATTGATCCACTGATCTAAAAAAAAAAAGCATTTTACAAAGGCAGAGAAGCATCACTACCCTTGTTTTAAGCAACAGAGATGATGAGCAACCAACTCACCTACGGTCAATACAGCACATCAGTGGCACAGCGTCACAGCTACAAATCAAACTTGGGTATTTCTGGCTATTTTTGCACACTCCAGCTCTCATTGCTTGGCTGTCTGTGTTGGCATCTGTGGTCACGTAGGCATTGCACAGTGCTGGGAGTCAGGAGGTCTGAAACTTTCCTTAAGCCGTTTACAATAAGTGATTTAAAATCTTAATCATCTGAGGCAGTTCACTTCTACTTTTTCATGATAATGAAGCTTAGCACATGATATCACAATCATGAATTTTTGTAAAGCATACTTAGCTCTTCAGAAAAAGTGCTGGATTAAACAACCCTGCAGGCTGAATCCTTCTCTCTGAATAATGAATATCGTACAGGCAGTGGCAAGCTTCTTTAGATAGTCCCACGAACCCTGCTCAAGAGGCAGCCAGCCTCCGTGGCTGTTTGGTCCCTGGTTTCTTTATCTCTACTGCCAACAGGGTTTGTTTGGATTTTTTTAAATACTTTTCACAGCTAGGAATTACTTGCTGCCAGCCAGCTAATTGCACAGGGACTATCCCAGAGCCTTTGGAAGGCAATGCCTTTTGGTTACTGCCTATTCTTGTAGCTGATCAAAATATGACAAGTTACAATGGCTATTTCTTAGATTCAGGAGTCAGTAACAATGGGAGAAAACATGACTCGAGCTAAAAAATATCTCAGTTTCTTTAAAGTACACTGCTCCACCACTGGAGCTCTGTATCCTTACTTTAGTCTCATTTTAGAGCTGAGTTTCAAACAGCTGACAACAGGAATTTGGAGTGGAATAGGTGATGGTCCATTATCAGTAGTGACAGCAATGGGTGTGACTTTATTAAAGTTCTGTCAACTCTTGCTTAGGAACTACAACAGAAACAATGAGTTCCATCTCTCTCCCTTTATTTCAGCAGTTATATCACACTCATCACAAAGTGTTACATTTTCCCTTGATGCCACAGGATGGGATTTCTCCCTGCTACTGGAGCCCATGTGGTACAATACAGCCCTAAATCCTGCCTATGAGTTGACAGCAGACTGTTACCCTCCCAATGATAAAGTTGCTGATGTAGTTTAGACATGGGCTAAAATAAAAGTCAACTGATACTTTTTAGTCTTTTACTAAGTAAAAAAAACCCAAACCCAAATCCAAACCCAGTCCAAACCAAAACTGTTCTACTGAGCAGTATAAACCTGGAGCTATTCATTGCAACTATCTGCTGCTGAATAGATTATTTGCCTGAACCCTTTAAGAAAGCTCAAAAGCTGGCATAAATACCAAGGAAGATTCTGTTCAAGCTCTTTTGATCTGAGATACCACGAGGTGTACTTGTTATGCAATTGAAAAGAGATACCAAACAGAGTTTGCTGGACCACATTTCCATCTCACTGCTGTGAGCACTGAACTGAGCTCCTAAAGGCTCTGGCATGGCAAGGTCAGTGTTTTCCTCACACGGTGACTATTTTTCATTCACCCCTCTGTGTCTAGGAGGGAAGCACATCTGGACGGGTGCTGAGAAAATAAATAATGTTTGTGGCAAAGGAAATTAACATCTTGGAAATGGCAACATGAATTAAAACTCATTAAGGATTGGAACTCTTTACAAAGATTTAACAGTGTAAATTCTCCCTCCTGAAGCAGTTTTTCACCTTGTGCTTTTCCAGTCAATCTCCCTCCTCTGCAGATGTCCCTCAGCACTTTTCATTTCAACTGCAATACCAGCCATTTTCCCACTCTCAAGGAGTGGTGGTTTTGTGAAGCTGATAAAAATCTGCCTGAAAACCTGGTTGGTGCAGCTGAACCCATTTTGAAGTGTGAACATGGGTGTGTAGAAAGCAATTCGAGTTTAACAAGGCATGAGGCATGAGGGCATGATGGAATATCAGTCGTGATTGTGACCGAAATGAACTCGAGCGGCACGGAGGATGCAGCTCTGCTGTGGTTACTGGAGTGTGACCTACCTGGGCTGAGATCTTCAGTCTCCAGCAGGAGAGAACAGCACATTAACTCTACAGCTGTGCTGGCCAGCACACAACACTGGCCTGCATGATGCACTGGAGACGTGGCTTAGGAATCTCAGCTCCTGATTTGTCGTGAGATTGCTGTTCACAGCAAAACAAAACTACCCCACCAACCTCACTTACTCTGTTGGATTTCATAATTAGCTTTTCTATGCTCCTACTATACCGAGTCTGTTGAATTAAAGCAAGTGTGCAGTGGGATTTTTATGGATCCCAGGAAAGATCCATTTCTTTGTTGGGTGATGCTGACAACTCAATTAAATCTTTTTTCGGGGCTCAAAACATCTGATGCGCAGATCTTGTTATTTCAGCAGTTAATTAGCTCCTTTCCCACTTGTGTCTTCCATCATCCCTTCCATGTGCTGCTCACACAATGAAATCAGTGAAAATCAGAAATACTTATTTTGCCTCAGTGTTGGGTCTAGAAAGATAATGGCAACACAACTCCATCAGTAAACATTCCTTACTGAGCTGCAGGAACCAACTTTGGACCTGTGCACTAATCTTCCCCAAGGTGAAAGCCATGAGGCTCTCCATGCATGAAGGGACTGCTGCATTCCAGCCCCCAAAATTTGGGGATCACAAAGCATAAATGTAAGTGCATAAGTTTTCCTATTTGCTGTCAAGAGTGGCTTTTCAACAAGTCCTTATTGTTCAGAAGCAGTACAGTACATGCTTTCCAGCAGTGCCATGATATATAGGAATACCTGCACTTCCTTTGCTGACATTTATAGGTGTTTTATAGCAACTGGGCCACCCACAAAACAAAAAACCCCCATGCACAAATTGTTGCACAAAATTCTGTGGATCCTATTGCCCACTAGAAACCAGTAGATCAAAAAGTAAAGAAAAAAAAATCTAAATCTTTACCCATATCTACATGCAAAGTGGGTGCTATTACCTTTTTCTATGCCTTTTGAAAATGTAATAAAATGCATAAACTGTGTACTTTCTATGTATTTGATTTTTCCTATAGATGTGATGTTTTTCACAGCTCCACAATTAAAATTACTTTACTCCCTGTGCCATTAAATGACTGTGGCAGGTACAACAGCATAATCCTGCAAGGAGAGATGGGACTATCCCTATTTCTTTTTCCACTCAGCAACCCCTGGCACTGATATTTTGAGAAGGTTCATGCTCTGAGAATAAATTCAGGTCCACATACCATGGAGTTAATATGCAGTCTGTGTCATCAATATGCATTTATCTTTCTTTTCAATAGTTTTTCAGAAAGCCTTTCCCTAAAAGGTACTTTTGCACTCAAAGGGGATCACTGGCTATTGAAATCTGTGCAGCATTTCATTTCCACGTTCAGGCTGGCCACTTGACCACTCTTGATGGTGATGCTTAACACCTCTGCCCTGGTTTTTGGGTTGTGGTAGAGGCACAAGATTTAAAAACTCTTTTCACAAACTTTTGTGCAGGCAAAGCTCTCAGGTCCAAGCTAACCTCTTTGTTTCTCAGTTACAGACCTATGTTTTGCATATAGTTACAGAAAACACAGGAATGGAGGAGATAGTGCTACAACGAGGGCCAGTTCCCATCACCTTTCATGTCTTCAAGCAGTCATTTACAGTCCTGTCCTTTTTTTAATTTTTTTTTTTTTTTTGGCCTTGTGCTACAAAGCAGAAATGGGGTCAGGGGAGCAACTTTGATTTTGTGAGAGCAGAAAACTGAGGGTGTTTTCTCAGGGTGCAAAGGAACCTTTCCAGCTGACAAACAGGGTGATAACACCAGTTAATATGTTGGCACCGAGACCTTTCTGACACTGGAAATAAAAGGTGATAATTTCAGTCACTGTGAAAAGTTCATGTGGATACCTTCATCACGTGGGACATATTACAGCATAACCTCTCGCTGCAGACAGTGGCTCTGCCTACCTTGGCTGTGACATAAAGCTCCCAATTAGCACTTAAGGAAAGAGACTTTGCAGGCTGCACACTCACCTCGGCTCAGCCCATCTGGTCCCCGAAGGATTCGGCATTCTTCTATCTGGCCAAACGGAGAAAACATCACCCTGATATCATTCTCATTACACTTCTTCGAAACCATTCCTATGAACAATTTTCTGTCTTCCACAGCTAGAAGATAAAAATAATGAATGAGCAAAGGCCATTTCATCTTTTTGCTGTGATCAATGCTTCATTACCACATCAAACCAAGCTCCAGTCATGTGAGTCTGGCTCTGTAACTGAAGACAAGTCCTAAGGCAAACACTTTATACTTACAACCTCCCTTCCCCCTTCCTCCCCCACCCCAAATATCTCGTTTTTCTCTCTCTTTTTTCTAGTGGTGCTTGCTGTTTATAGAACATATTAATTGGCTGTCTTAGTCACTCTGCATACACCTCCCCTTCATGGCTTCTAAAAGGAAAGCATCCTCTGTTAGAGACACTTTTAAAGATATCTTTGCATAGATTCTAATTCAGATAAATTCCCTCATCCCCTTCACGTGTGAAAGAAATCATGATGGGGTGAGGGTGAAGAAGGGATTGTGCACGTAATGATACAAGCTAATGAAAAATATTCCTGAGAAATGTTTTGAGAGCAGCTCCTATCTGAGCTTTCAATTTGAGCCAACTTAATGCATGGCACTGGAAAGGCAGATGTGCAATGACTGCTCTGGAAAAAGAATGCATTACATTTTTCTGCTTTTTTTTTTCACTGCCACAGCCCTTTCCCCTTCAGGAGGACACAAGACATATTTCAGGACATCACTTGAACACCCTTTCATGGGTAATGATGCTGAGTTTCCAAAAAAACCACCATGAAAAATGTGTTTTACCTGAATTATTGGTAGAATACTTCCCACCTGCACTGTCACCGACACCAGCACAAGCTGGACTGCTGCAGCAGGATGCACACAGTCCTATTAATCAAACTCAAATTTACAGGTCTAAAGCTGGGGACTCTTGTCAAAAATGAAAGAGGTCATCAAAACTTAATTCACTCTAGAAAAACTTAAAAATGTTAACGCACCCACCCATCTATATTAAACCCCAAATCTAAGTGCTTATTATACAGTACATACACCAGTGCTTTCTTCTCTGGAAATGGCATGTAAATCCAATTCCCTGTTAATGAGCAGACTGTCAGGGTTTGTGGGGAAGCAAAGAGAGAAGGAAAGCTTTACTCCAGAGAGCCTGCACTGCACTTACTTATTTCTATTATTGTGCAAATTATTTTTGTAATGAAGTATTTTCATTTCTGGGCTTACAAAAAAAAAATAATGAATCCTCCCTTGCTCTCTAACTCTGTCTCCTGTATTAGTACGAGTTTGTCATATGGAAAAAATTGCAGCTGAGGAAGAAGGAGCTGCGTCCATTTTTTTCTAGGATTTTATTTGTATTATACTTCAACACTTTCAGCGCATTTAATAATTTCAAGAATAACAAGAAGAGGTTCATGTTTATTGATCACGAGAAGCGTTTGAAGTAATTTTCTCCGTAAATCGCTGACTTTAAAAAGTATTTGTAGCTTTTATACAAGCAAGCACCAAACCCATGCATTTTTCAGAACCCAAAACAGAGACCAGCCCCTGCGATCCCAGTTCTCACTCTAAAAACTTGCAAGAAAATTGGTGTGAATTTAACACCCAGGAGAAGATGTATTCTTCAGCAGAGATTCCTCAAGACTGAACATTTTCATTCACACTTTATATTGAGGTTCCACACGCAGGTGAACCCTCCAGAAAGGGTTAAGAAATGATGAATGCATGGGATGAGCCAGCTGTATACAGATCAGCAGCTGAATATGCGTGATTGCAAATAAGACCTGCGAGTTGGGATATTTATGTATACATAAATATATATATATATATGTGTCTTATTATGAAACTTTACATCTGATTCATAATATATAGCTGACCTTGACGCTGCTAATTATTATGTTTAGGGTGGGAAAGCCGAATTGCCTTGCTCACAGCTACAAGAGGAGAGCAGGCAGCCACTTCTGCTGGTGGAAGCACACTTGTAACCTGGCTGCAGACAATTCCTACATTGCCTTGAGCAATCTTTCTCAGGAAGTTCCCTGGCCAGTCTGTCCCCTTGACAACATCCACAGACTATGGCCATAGTGCAGGAAAGGTTTTGAGACAAGGCACCCAGCTGGGCTGCCAGGCCTGGATTTCTCCACACCACAGACTGAGCTGAGGCTGGGTGAAGCCTTGGTGCCAAGCACATTTCCAAGCATTGCCTTCTGCTCTGTGCTATGAACCTCTTGTTCTGTGTCTCTGTGTCAGCTAGTACCAGCCAGTTTAAATTTAGGGTTGAAATATATTGTGCAGGTTTACCCTAAGGGTGACTAGGTTCCAACCCTCTTTTAAAAGAAGCTGCTGGCTAAGTTGGACAAATGGCTGCCACTGCATCCCAAAGGAGGTCCCTTGGGTGCTGCTTTGGTGCCAGAACAAAGCCTCAAACCAAAGAGGTTCACGTGGAGACTCAAAAGAAATGAGATGGGAACAGAAGGCTTTGTTTTAATTTTCCAAAGAGTAGCAGGCGACAAACTCCCCACCGGCCTCCTTTGGTTTTGCTAGTAAACCTATAAATATGCCATTTAACTAACATGATTTGCAGGTTTGCAGCTTGAGGGTGATTTTATAGTAAATTAAACATCCAGCTCCTGTGTACTGTACATCTTCAAAATGCAGATTTCATGAAGAATGCTCAGAGTACAGTAAACATATTGATGTGATGACGTGCTCTGCATTCAATGCCATTAGTCAGTGCTGATCAGTGTTGAAGCTTAAGAAAATTGTTATTCTTTTTCTGGCTAGGGGCCCAGCATAAAAAACATTTAAAGTGACAATTGTCAAGATCAAAATGACATGTTTTCATTCCATCTGATAGAACATCTGATATTAGGCTGAAAGAGTTTTTAACAATATATTCCCCCACACAGAAAGGAATACTTTTCCACCTCAATAAGACTGACTTTCAGGATTTATTTCTGCATTTTTGGTCATCCATTTCTTTCTTTCTACAATGAGTTCTTACCAGCCACACAGGCAAGATTTGAAAATCAGACAACAAAGTGCAAGAAGTGTAGGTCAAATGTATTTAGAGGTTATCAAGCTTCATTCTGGATCTGCCAAGCCTGTGGATTTTCCTGTGTGTGTTGGATTTCTCCCATGGACAGTAAAATGAGGAACCCAGCATTAAACACATATGACCCAGCAAAACACTGAGGCTGGGACAGGTGCTGTTGCTTAGGGAAAGCATGGCAGCCTAAACCCATCTGGCCTAACTTCAGTGACCTACAGGTTTAGTCTCAGCTCAACTGGCTGCTGGCAATTCCAAGAGATCAGCTCCTTCAAAGAGTGACAGGTCTGACCTCTGCCAGCAAGGTGGGATAGCCTTTGTCATGGCAGTCTCTCCCCTGCTACTGGCAGTAGATTACAGAGTTTCTTACACTGACTGAGTAGATTGACAGGTGCTGTTACCCTCCAGCCAACTCCCAGATCTTGGGCATCATGATAGCACCTAGATGTCCTGAGCTCCAGCTGCAGGGACATCAGGAATAAATGAGTTCTGAGGGACTGGACAAAGCTTAGGAGCTGCAAGTGCTTTGGGCAATGAGATCAGGCAAAGAAAAAGGCTGGGGGAAGGATGACAGTGCAAGGGTCAGCACTTCTGTGCACATATCTCAAAAGCATTTCACTGCTGCTTGGTAACTCTTTCTCCCCCACCCGTGGGGTAGGTTTCAACAATTCAAAATCCAGAAAAATCAGAACTTTTTTAGCGTGTGTTTGACATCATTATTCCTGAACCTCGCTCATGAGCTTAGTTGAACTTTCTGACTATTTTACACAACTCTAGGAGAATGAAGTAGATACAACTGTGTGGAAGCAGCAGGTAGGATGGGGTGGCTGAGTGCCCCTCCTTGATGGAGCAGAAGCAGCCAGAAGGTCACAGTAAACAAGGCCTGAAGTTCCATTTATAGGAAGGAAAGTGTGAAACTGCACAGTTTCTTGATTAACACATTATGGGGTTCACCTTTAATCCATCCCAACACATTACAAACACAGGTTGGCTGTGCTGCCAGGGCAGTTCAGGTGACACATCCAGTGCTAAGCCTGCTGGATTTGGGGTGGGGTTTGCCAGAATACAGGAACACTGCATGAAGAGGTGCAGATACTTGTTTTAAAATGAGGTGAATTGCTCTGTAACCCTGTCAAGGCTGGCACTGCCATCACTATCACACATGCCTGGGCCTCGTGTTTGAACCCAGAGCTCTGCCTTAGCCATCAAAAGCTATCTGAGATGAAGTCTGTCTCTGCTGGGGGGGAACTTTCAAACTGAGCCTCCTGTCATCTGACAGCACTACATCCAGTGTGCAGAATAACATCCTGAAGGGTCTAATTTTTTAGCTTTACTCAATTTGCTTCAGTAATGAGCATTTCTTGCAGGCTATGTTAGATTGTTTGTGCTAACCCAGGAGGATAAAGGAGTAGAGATTGTTTTCTGAATTCTACAAAGGAATTAAACCCTGTAATAATCGCGGGAAACCTCTCTGAAGATTCAACATAACTTTTCTTTTCACTCTTCTAAACCCCCAAAATTCTGAAAGATCAAAATTATAACCCTTTATTGTACATTTCTGAGAAGTCTAGTCAGATAGAGTGAGTTTTCTCCCCAGAAGATGCCTTCTCTTCTGAGAAAATAGATAAACAGTTAATTATGTATAAATGGTGTGGAGGTTTTTTGTCTTTTTTCTTGGTTTGGTTTTAGTTTTTTACTCCCATATAGAAAAGAAGGGATGAAATTAGACTTTTTATCCCTAGCTGTAAGCCTGTGAAAACCCCTTGCATACAATCTGTCAAAGTCACACCTGAATCCGGAGCTGCCTGCATTAATTATCAACTTTTCTATGTGTTAGTGCTAACATATGGCATCTAATTACTACCTCCAAATCGGCAAAGTTATGCCACTTAGAATTTAAAAAATATTTTTTAAATTTTCCATTAGTAAAATCAATAAAAATAAATTATAAGATTACTCAGCTACCCTCCTCCCTACTTTACTTTTTTTTTTAAATAGAGAATTTTGTTATTTTCCCTGAAGCAGTGATGCTTTGATCCATTTAAGAGCACAGTCTGCAGGATATGTGCCTGAAAATATTGACTGTGTTCAAATCCAGATCCAAGACATTTAAGCATTTGCAAATTGCAGGATGTTAATGACCACAGACAACTTAGAGTCAAGCAGGTGTTTGCAAGTGTTTCAGCATTAGACTGGAGGAACCCTCTTTGTTTGAAAAAGGGAAAATGTCCTTAAGAGGATAAATACTATGAGTGATGGATCTAGCAATGGTGGAGCCTTCAAAGTTGAAAGGCCTCGTGCTTTTTTGGTGGAAAATCCTTAACCAAAACTTTCTAGACAGGTTAAAACAACCTTCATAAAGGTGATCAGACCAGGACACTACAAAATTAATCATCTGCAAATCTTCTAGAGATGTTATGTTTTTCAACAGTAAGAAGCTTCTCAGAATCACCCTGGATAGACAAATTAATTAAAACTGAGGGCAAGTCTTGCTAAAGGTGCTAAAAGCTTGGTGGAAGAGATCAAGATTTGCTTCATCTGCATGAGCAGAGAAATGACTTAGACACATTTTAGGCAGGGAAGGAAGCACTGGCACAGGTTGCCCAGAGGAGCTGTGGATGACCCAGCCCTGGAAGTGTTCATGGCCAGGTTGGATGGGGCTCTGAGCAACCTGCTCCAGGTGTGCTGGAGGTGTCCATTCCATACCCATCTCCCAGTTTCCATGAGGTGAACTTGGCCTCTGGTGTCAAGGGACAGATTCCTCAGGTGATGCAGACATCTAAGGGCAGGAACAGTGATGGAAAAGGAGGAGCATTTCATCCTGGCAGTCTCTGCTTGGATGCTCATTCAAAGCTTTTTTACAAGGTGCATAATATAGGGAGGGGCATTTAATCACACAGCAAATACTGTTCTTTGAAAACCTCTGTAAGTTGAATGAGAGGACCAAGTATCCTTCCTCCCTATGGAACTTGAACAAGTCTATCAATCCTTCACAAACGTGTATAAGCTTAGAAGAATTGTAGAGTGTTCAACTTGTCCTACACATCTTTCCACAGGAAATTTTTGACCAAGAAAATTTCTTTAACCTCTTTGCAAACTGAGAAACACCACTTTACACATAAAATCCACTGAGATCCTCCCATGACTCAGAAATCAAAGAGATTCGAGTATTCCTCAAAAGCTCAACCACCACGGATCATGAAAACCAAGATGCCTTGGTATGTCTTTTTTCTTTTCCCCTTTGAACTTACCAATCTGGTTGAAGAGGTACAGTTTACAATTTGCTGTTGGCATGGATAACATACCTCCTCAGATGGACAGCCTGGAGCATATGGGAAACATGTGCCAAACAAACCTCCACATCCCCCACGCTGCTGTTTTTTCTCTTTTTTGATCTCGAAGCTGCTTGCAAACTGCCACCCACTCCATGAACCCCATGCCTACACCCTGCCTTTCTGAAGGGCTGTACCATTATTACCATCACTGTTTGCCTTCTGTTTCTCCAGTCAATTAAAAAAAATAAATAAAAAAATCACCACCCCTTGAATATGTCTATCAAAAGTTCCCACACCCTTCAGGAGTCTAAATTTAAAAAGGTGTTTAATTTGACAATTGGAACCCCTGAACTGAAAATTTGTTTTTCCCCAAAAATACAAAGAAAGGCAAGGGAAAAAAAAAAGTGAAAAAATCCAATCTCTTGTGATTTTTATATTTGGAATAGATGCCAGAAAATAAGAGAGTATTCCCACAGTGCAAACAGGAGTTTCATGCAGATAACCCCAGACTAACAGCAGCAGCCAGGAGCCAACCTAACCTGCTTTCCAAGCAGGCACTACTTGCAGAGAGAGACAGAATTTGCACAATTCCCCACAGTGTTTTTCCAATATGTTCAATCTCCTTTAGAAATAAACTCTCCAGGCAATGAACAAGTAACTCACTGGGAGTCAATTTTGGCCCATTGCCTCTTATTTTTCTAATTTGCCAAGGAAATTGAGGTGAAATTTGTCTTTGAAAGAAGAGCCCATAGAGGCCATACTTAGTTCAGAGGGTTCAGGCCAGCGTTCCTGAGGGATAATTGTGCCCACTGCTAGCACTAAATACTAGGGACTGGAGTTTGGATTCTAACAGCAATGTTCTCCTTGACTGCAGTGGGGCCTGAAAAGTTCAGTCCTTCTGCCCATCCAGGGGCCTTGGCCTCTACTCTGAGCACTCAAAGACAGCAAGAAATCACTGCTAAAAATCTTTGGGAGAATGTTCTTCACCCAGAGGGTGGCTGGGCACTGGAACAGGCTCCCTAGAGCAGTGGTCACAGCACCAGACCGACAGAGATCAAGGAGCATTTTGACAATGCTCTCAAGCACACGGTGGGATTTTTGGGATTGTCCTGTGCAGGGCCAGGAATTAGACTTTGAGAATCCTCATGGATGGATAGCCATCCTTTCCAACTCAGAATATTCAATGATTCTATAATTCCAACCTGAGAGAGAACAGCCCCTACCATATAAATGGGTGAAGGCTCATATTTCCTGTTCTAATGGCCACTTTTGTTTGGAAAGTTGTCATAATGGAAAACCTAGCATAATGTGAAGTTTTAATTTCCTTCCAAACTTCATAATCCTTGGAGAAGCCTGAAAAAGGGATGCACTACAATTAGCAAAAAAAGAAGCCTTAAAAAAGCCTTGCGGAGAGATTTAGAGCCCAATCATAATTTACATTTGCAGGTATGTAGATCTCTAAGTGCACGGCTTCTGCCCTGATTACTAATTAATGAGGTGCAAAGATGCCTGTTGGAGGAACCAGCTCTGATTATGTGGGCCTTAAGGGAAAATGAAGCTCTTGCAATCTAAGAAGGCAGATGATATCTTTAACATATATTTTAGAAAATTACAGGAACAAATCAAGGGGCAAAATATACACGTATATATTTTTAAAGAATCACACGCCGCCAAGTTGCACTACCATTCGATTATCTTATTTCCCTGAATGTATAAACCTGGCATGTTTAATAGATTTAGCTTGCCATCTATTTTGCATGTCATATACATCCACTTAGGCTGTACCCTAGTATTCCAAATGGATATTACTGTCTTTATAGCACTCATTTTTCAATCGTTTTGAGGAATAAGTATACAGAGAGCTCCAAAGTGGGCTTCCCAGTTCATAATGAAGCATATGATTAAAACCTAAATTTGGCTCAGATTCAGAATGGCATCATTCTGTAAAAAGGTAGTTTTGGCAAATGCTTAAAGCCAATCATGTACTTACATAGTTAACACAGGTATGCCTTTTTGTTTTTTTTATTTTTAATTTTCAGCATTAACATTTTATCTCCATCTTTTCAATCTCAGGTGCTCCCACATTACCTCACTGTTAAGAGAACCTAAGGAAAGGATTTATGTAAAGTGTGTCATGGCATACAGCAGGTACAAGGAAGACCCTTTTTGAGGACATTTCCTTCCTTCTTTAAAGCAGACCATAAAAGAGAGTTCAGAGCAGCTCAACACCTTCCCAACACGTCAGGTATAGGGAAACTGCCTATTATTTTCACCACAAAATGAGTAAAGCAAAATCTCTCGCAGTGTTGTGCTTAGATTAGTTTAGAGAAAGATACAATCAAGCAAAAGTAAATTGAACACCTACCATTTGACTTTTCACTATCTGCAGGTTTCATCTGAATAGGATGATGCATCTAAAAACAAAAATGAAAGAGAGTAAGGCAGGTTGGATAGTCATAAAAAACCATGAGTGATGTTTTTAATGAAGGGCTAAAAAGAGACACGATTTAATATTAACCATGTTGAAATTATGTAAGTTCAAAATAACACTGTAATATAGTCTTATAAGAAAAGAAAATGGTAAAGGAGTATTTTATAATGAGAAAATAAAAAAAAAAATCATTGGGCCCATAGGACTCATATAAATCTTTAATTTGCTGTATCTAGTTTCAGAAGACCTCTAAAGTTACAGCCCTCATTAGTTTATGGCATGCTTGGTTTCTGTTTTACCACCTCTTTTTTTCCTTGAGCTCAACCACTGCCAAAACCAAGATGTAATTTTCAAGTAATTTAAGTAAGCATTTCAAACGTACTCAGAGGAGCTGAGTTTGACAAACGAACTTTGCTTGTAATTAAAAAACTGTGCTGATTCTTTCAGGACTGAAGAAGAAGAGATCTTGATTCCTAAAATAGCTTCCTATAATTGTTTAGTATCTCATCTTTTCATTTTAGAATACATTACACATGCATCCATAAAGCTTCCACCACAACATGTAACAATTCTGGCATCCATAAAAACGCCAAATCCTTTTTCCTTTTCAATCTCTTCCTCCATTCACGTCCCTCTTGCTGCAAAGGAAAGCAACCCCTGTGTGCAGTGTTCTGTGCTGAGCATCCCACCTTGGCACACCCATGGCATGCCAGTCTGGTGTGTCCTCAGCTTTCTCTACTAAATGATACTTCTCCCACACTGAATTGTTGATAGCTCTAATAAAATTTCTACAAATGGTATTTTTGTTCTTTCAGGAATAACAACCCCACAGCAGCTGAGCTCTCTCAGGATCAGAGTTTTCCACAGGACATTGGTGATAGCCAGCCCTGTGGCCACTGTGGTATGTTCAGGGAAATTTTATTACAGCTTCTCAAAAGCCTCCAGAACTGACCTCACATTGAGATTCAGTGTGGGAGATGTTTAAGCTTGAAACCTCCCCCCAATTTTGTTTTCTTTCTTGGGGTCTGCATAGTTACTGGGATTTGACTGCACAAACGTTCCAGCAGTAGAAGGGCCTCTGCCTTTTCTCTCCTCAGCAATTCCTTACCAATTCACATGAACAGGTGAAAAAATGGATGCTCCTTCTACTTTTGTATCATTTTTCAGTGCAGCACAGCTGCATATTGCCTGAAAATGTCAGAGGCAATTCCATTTTTTTAATGAAAGATTGTTATGACAAACTCTTGGAAACAAAAACAGCTGAGCAGGAGAGAACATCCATGCCCTCAGATCAAATATGCTTTCGAAGCTGCACAGAACCCACATCTGCACTGCTTTTGGTGAAGTAACTTAACCACCAGGGAAAAAGTTGCTGGATTCTTTAGAAAATATAAAATATTGCTGTGAATGTTTCTGCAGATTTACTCCAAGTCCAGAACACTCCCTGGCCTTGCAAATCAATGTATTCCCTGTGCTGCTTGCACAACTTCCCACTGTGTCCTAGGAAAGGCAAAGCCACAAGGTAGATGTAGCTGTTGGGATGCATTCATTTTCTTTAGTTCTAACAGTTCTGCTCTCTTTGAATCATTTGTTTCCTAAATGGACTTTTAATAGCCCAACACTTGTCTGTCACCACTCTTATTAGATCAGTTTTATAGAAAAAAGGGAACTTCTATCGTTCTCTGTCTTCTTTAGTGCTTAAGATTTTTCCTGTCATCGACAATATACTGGGCACTGCAGGAGACTTAAAATTCATGGGAATGTGAGGCAGCATGTCCACTTAGCAAGCAAAAACAGAAAGAAGAAAAAAGGTGTAGCTTGCTCCACAAGGTCATTGCAGGTTACTGATGTCTCTGAGCAGCAATGGAGTGGTGAGAAAATAGAGGAAAGAAAGGCAAGTATTAAAAATTCAGGAATATGCAGAATATAAGAAAAACCCAGGCCAATTTCAGGCATTTTGTAGACAGAGAATCAATCTACTGCTCTTTACAGATGCATCTATGTGCCCCTAAGAGGAGATATTTTGAATAAAGGCTATTCTAACAATGTTAAAAACCTCTCACTTTTCAAGCTGCCCGAACCAGAGAAGCCAACTTTAGACCAAATTCACGTGAAGAAGTTATTTTTGCAGCCCATGGTTGCAACACAAAGATCAGTGTTACCTGACAAAGACTGCATATCCAAAGTCATCCTCTTCAGCCACACATCATTACCCCAGGTTCATTAACTCAGTAATCTGGTACATTCACCAAGTAAGAGGCAAGATTTAACATGATGCTTCAAATGTGTTTTGACTTGATTTCAAAAGTTCCTGCTAAAAACGCATGGTCCAAATTCGCTTCACACCGTCAAGCTGAATTTGGGAGTGATGCTATTGTACTTAAAATTGTATCGGTGCAAAACTAATAAAAGATCCAGCTCAGGTCTGGAGAGCTTAAACTGTAGAACACCCCCAGAAAAATGGATATGATACACAAACCTGGCTTCAGAGAAGAGGAAAGTGGAAAAATACCTTACTGACAGTTTCCTAACATGAGAGGGCTCATGTTGAAGCTTGTTTAACCCTGACCATCACCAATTGATACGTTAACAACCTTTAACACTAGATTCAATAAAACATGCCATTTATAACCTGAAATGGGTTTTACAGAGTCACTGGTTCGCATCTCATTATTAAACTCATTGCTGACCTCTAGAGACAACTGCCGTGACAATACATATTATAAGCTCTCTACCCATAAAATATTTAAAGGTAGGTGTAAAAAAGAAAAGAAAAGAAAAGAATGACTCCCAAAGAAATGTGCAGTGAATAAGAAAATTAAAGGGGCAGAGACAAAAGCTAAATAGGTACTATCTTTTCACTCTACAATGAGCAAAAGAGAAAATAATCTGTACATTTTGTATCTTTCTTGTATAACTGCAGGCTATAAAATAATAAAATAACTGTGCTTTCCCAGGCCCTCCAAAAGATTATAGATGATATAAAACTGTTTCAAATTAGATGCCATTCACTAGAATCATGTCATCTACCGAAATGAAGGATTTCTCATCTTATCAGAAAGCTGTTATTGTAGCCATACATCACTTATGGATCTCAAGGTAAGTGATTTCTCAGTATGTCATGTTGTCACACAGAACAACAGGAAACATTTTCTTCTTTTCTTGGAGAAAGCTTTGCTTATGAAAATACAGTATTTATGAATGCACACTTACAATTAATAAGGAGGCAAGAATAAGAAAAATAACCTCAGCAAGTAATTTATTAACTTGAACATCATCCTGTGCTCAGCACATACAGTGTAAGAGAACAACACAGCTCTCAGGCAAGTTCTTTCTGAGCATGGGCAGCTTCCCCTGGCAAGCACTGTGCACGGGGATGTCAAACCCAGGCTGGAGCATGGGCTGTGAGGAGCATCCTCTCCTCATCAATATTACAGAGTTCTACTGAACACACTCGTGCAGCAAGCAGGGCACGACCTGCCTTTCCTACAGGCGCCCTCCGTCCATGGGTCTCACAACACACCATGCCATTGTTTTACAGCTGACAGCAGGAAAATGCCTGTTGCCCAAGGTTGCCAGTGCCTTGTGGCAGTGCTGGCAGCAAAGTGGGAGCTTCACTGCTGCTTGTGCTGTCACAGAGGCCACCCAAAGCCCGGAGCCAAGCACATCACTGCCTCTCCTTGGGTGCATCCCAAGCAGGGGTGCTGAGGCAGTTCATGGGAATCAAAAAGGCAAAGAAACAGTTATCAAACATGCAACCCTGAAAATCCCCCTGAAATTAATGAGAATCTGGCTGCTGGCTATGTCCAGGGCAGCAGCAGGACCATGCCATGGCCTAGAATTACAATTGAATAGTTACATCTTTTTCCCCCCCTCCTTCTCCTGAGTACATCTTGCTATATGTAAACATAATGTCATTAGAAAAAAAACCACAGCAACCCAAATGCAACCCAATGCATTACAAAGGCATGCAACCTCTTCAGCTTTAGAGCCTCAAAGTCATCTTTTCAGCAATAATAACAGTACCTATTTACATTCTTGTCAAAGCCATGTGACATCTGCATGGGAGAAAACAAGCCGGCTAAGAGTCTATTTCTGGCAAAAATATTGCAAGGAAATTAGATTAACCTGGGTGGAATTCTATCTGGGAATTTGGAGTCTGTCGTGGTGATTAAGTCATCATTTCTGTCAGATTACTCTAATCGGCTGTCAAATACGATTCCACAACCCCATCTGTAACTTGGCATCCTCGTTATTCAGTCGATGTTACCTTCTGTATACAAAACAAACCCAAACAAGGAGGTGTGTGCAGTCTAGCATTTAGCAGAGTCATTAGCTGTGATTACTATTGTGTGGTTGCACATTGCACAAGGAGATCAGCTCATGGTTTGTTTTGTTTAGTCAGGGGATGCTTCAAATCAGGTGTAATCTTAAGTCTGAGGTATCAGGGGTGAATGGGTAAGAACTGTCTCCAGGCATGGGCAAGCATGGGATTGGCACACTCCAAGTCACCACTGCATCAACAGCAACTGCTTAAATCACATTTCAGAGCTGTGAATATATTTGCTGGAAAGGCTTTTGGACACCTGCTTTCCATCAATTTTCTGAAGAGAAATGGTCATTCAGATATTCTGGGTAGACCAAAGACTTCCTGCGAGCAGCAATTTCTGTGAGTGAAGCAAGGTTTGTAGGAAGAGGCAGTTGGCACTCGAAATGGTCTGTACTGGCTGCTTGAAGATGTTAAACATGAATATGTTAGTCTTACACAGGACTTTGGTGATTAAAAGCAGGAGATGCCTTTCAGTGAAGATGAAGGAGCTGATGGGCTCATTTTGCTGCAGCTGTGTTGAGTCTGTGAAATTTGGATACCCTCAGCACCTCTGGAACTCTGGCCACCTAGACTGAATTTTTTTTTTTTATGGTCCATTGCAAAAGCACTTCATACATGATTACTACCTCTTTTAGCAGCTTTTATTGTCCGTT